GAGAAATACCCTTGTTTATTTAATTTAAATGTAAAGTAATTGAATATATCCAAGGCTCTAGGCTCCCTAGCATAATTAATAATACAATGAAATCCCAGCAGCATTAAAGTAATCATTCCCACGGGAGCTCATCCAGCCAGCCACCTCCAGAAACTCCTTTCCACCTTTTCATCTTTGTGAGACGCATACCCTCGGCCCTCTCCAAAACCCCTATGAAACAGCTGTCATTACAGAGAGATAGTAATGGTGTACTATATCTCTGTGGCAGGCATGATCACCTCTCTGGGTGACAAAGAGGCAGTGTGAAGATGAGTCATTTACAACCCATCATCTTTGAGGTGGCTCTTTCTTGTGCTAAATGCGGGAAAAGTTGAGATGACTGCTGCACTCCCTCACTCACTTTACAGTTGCCACTGCCACTGTTTCAATTACAGAGAGGATTGGACACATTCCCATGATTCATAGGGAACACTAAAAGTGTGTGAGTAAAGTTTAGTAAGTGCTGTATACAAAGGAGAATAATACTTCGCACTTGTATGGTGCTTTACAGTCTCAATTCATTGGATAGATGTTAACTACCAAGGAAGTGGATAAGTCTTTTACCATCCCTAAGCTATAGGAGGGAGGGATAGCTCAGTGGTTTGAGCATTGGCCTGCTAAACCCAGGGTTGTGAGTTCAATCCTTGAGGGGGCCACTTAGGGGTCTGGGGCAAAATCAGTACTTGGTCCTGCTAGTGAAGGTAGGGGCTGGACTCAAGGTCCCTTCCAGTTCTAGGAGATAGGATTTATTTATTTAATTTATGAGGAAGCTGAGAGAGTGGCCAGGAGTTTCTTCTGTGTCCAGCTTCTGCTGGAGGCAGCTAAGAGAGAGAACCAGTGATGGCCCCAGGTACAAGGGTTCTCTAAATTGCACCAGCTGGTAGCAATCCCCTAGGGAGCATATGCCAATTGGGGATAGCCAGAATGAACTGTGCTCCTGCCATTTGCCCTCCCCCTGCCTTCTCAACACCAGTATGGTACCCTTGCCATCCCCAATGTACTTATTCACCTGAGGCTGTGAGGAGGGAGGCGTGGGAGTGGCTCGGATATTCTACACCAGCTGGAGGTTCTACGACAACTCCCCTATGCCACAGGTATCCCTGAAGAAGACTTGTGTGAGGTTTATGCCACCTGTATGGGGCCAAGAATGGCCCAAGATCATACTGCAGCAGTGTCAGCTTTAAAACATGCATGTTCTTGCACACTCCATTAGAGCAATACTGCCGCTGAAACCAGATGCTTTCGCGCTTTGTGTTGAGAGGTTTTTTTTAACTGTTGACCTTCTTTCTCTAAGAAAAAGAGTTGAAAATATTGCAATGGTTTCAATTATTGCTCATATTTCTTGAACACAATTTCAAATGTTAAGCCCTTTTCTCTTTGCCAGTAAAATCAATTGTAATGGTACACTGCAAAGATCCATGGTACCAGATCTGTACTGTTTAATGGATATTTGGCAGACCAACATGCTGAGATTATATAAATATTGTATTTTACTTGGGAGGTTCTACTTGTACCTCTATTCTATAGGAACGACAGCACCTCATTTAGCAACAGCTTCTGGTCCTTTTTGTTTGTATTTACCACGTTCGACCATCAGGTATCTCCAAATTGTATCTCTTATATTTGGAGTGAGTTGTGGCTTCTGTGAAGATTGGAAGACCTTTATTTAAAATTTTATAGCTGAACTGCAGTGCAAAGTGAAACAGGTTTCTCTGCTGACTGCCTTGCTAACCAAACTGTGGGGGCTTTCAGCGCAGGAATAAGTTTTAACTAACCTTTTAAATTCCCCTTTTGTGAAGTCCTTCTAGCAAATCCAGTTCATTGAAGATATTCCTGAATGTCACATCACAAATACCAGAAGTCACACTGCAAACAGTGATATATACCACAACATGGCATGATGCTATCCGGATATCTTCAGTGAACCAGGAAATGCAAAGAGGATTTCAGAGACATGGTGGGGGGGTGAGGAGGGAATTTAAAAAATAAAAATAAAGCTAGGTTAAATCTTGTTTCTAGACTGAATGCTTCACATACTATTAGTTATTTTATTATTTGCATTACCATAGCGCCCAGAGGCTTCAGTCAGGCTTGGACTCACATTGTGCTAAGCGCTGTACATACCTAACATTAAAAATAGTCCCTGTCCCACAGAATTCCTAATCTAAAGTTGTGATCCTGTAATCTATGCAGACAGATTCTTTTGCCTTTAGGGGTGCGCCACATGGATCAGTGCTTAAATAGTGAGGAGTCACATGTAGCGCACAGTGGAGTAAATATTGGGACAGGCATGATTGCGTGTGTTTGCTAAGTGTACGCTATGGAGACTTGATAGCTTTTTTTATAAAAGGACCAAGAGATCCTATGAGCAGCTTGGTTAGTGAGCTCCTTTTTTTTTCATTTTTTGCTTTGCAGTTCATGTTTAAGGGACCTTTGTGAGCCATGAGCTCACTCAAGTTGAGTAAATCCTGCCATGTCTGGAAGGGGGAAGGTTGTGGGATTCCAAAGCTGGCTGAAAGGATTTGCCAAAAGAAATCATATTTTAATCAGTAGGAAATTATCTTTTTTTCTGAAAACCAGAGTGCCAAGAAACCAGAAACATTTCCTTTTCTATTCTCTTTGAGATTATGATGAATAGGGATATTAAAATCCCAATGTACGGAGCAAAGTCTTTTGGTTTTAGAGAGGGGCAATTTGCAGTAACCTAAGAAACTCAAGAGACAATAGTATTTCCTTCATTTCCCCCCCTCAGTGGAAGATGGTCCTCGGGGGTACCAATGAGGCTGAGCTTTGTTTTGGGAAGCTAGGTATCTGTGTGTTGCTAAAGTTCTCTCACTTCATACCGTCGGGCCAGTAATTAATTCTACCACATAGACTATCCAGCATGCAGGGCCAGCTCCAGGGTTTTTGCCGCCCCAAGCAGCCAGCCCCCCTCCCCCCCCCCCCGCAAAACAAAAAACAAACAAACAAACAAAAAAGATGGGATCGCGGATCTGCGGCACTTCGGCAGGTCCTTCGCTCCGAGCGGGAGTGAGGGACCCACTGCCGAATTGATGCCGAAGAGCCGGACGTGCCGCCCCTCTCTGGTGTGGCCGCCCCAAGCACCTGCTTGGTAAGCTGGTGCCTGGAGCCGGCCCTGCCAGCATGACAAGACACATGTAAGAGGAATTAGCCTCCCCCCATCTTGTGCCTCATGTATTCATTTACACCTATGCCAATGAGTAACATGCTACTGTTCTGATGTGGTGGCATTTTACACACACTGTGAAGAGATGGAAATGATTACACAACATGAAAGGCAGTGGGGAATTAGGCCCATATTTGCTATGATCTTTTTCCCTCTCACACAAGATAAGCCATTTCTAATGGACAGAGAAGCAAAGGAAAGTCCCTTTTCCGTGGCTCTAGACATGCAATAACATCCTAGCCAAGGAACATGTCCCCCCGACGACCTTCTTTCTACAGGCTTGATCCTGCAGGATCAGTCCCTGAATTTCTCTGTTTTATATTATCATTTACTAACTCTATTATAATATGGTATTTATCTCTGACTGTAGTTTCAAGACCTTTCTGTGGTAACCCCCTTGGCACGAATAGATGACTGTACACAAGACAAATTACTTTGCCCCAGTTACATTCATACTCTTTTTGTATGTTTAATGTGGTGCTTTCACGTGGGTTCAGTCTTTCTATTGCTTATATATTTGTGTGTGAGAGAGAATCCTACAAGGCTACGTTGGCACCTTGCTGTCTGCGCTGTGTTCAGGGCTTCCCATAGAGCCAAACTGTGACTCAAAGCCACAAGAAACATAAGCCCTCTCTTCCTGGTACATATTACTTCCCCTCTCTCCCGCCCGCCCCAGGTCAGCTTACCTATGCAGACTTGTGCACTGGGGGAAGAGGGAGGAGCCAAGGCTCCAATTATTCCCTGTCTCTTCCCATTTCCACTTTCCAGGTTGAGGCTTCTCTCCCCACTGTGCAGATGCCCATTCTATGGCTGGCAAATGCCTCACTACCCTGCACAAGTGTGTATCAAGGATCATTATCTGGTCCAAATGGCATAAGGTTCCCCACATGCAGAACTGGACTTTTAGGGTGAACTCCTGGCTTCAATTAAGTCAATGGCCAGCATTTTATTCCTTTAGGCAGGATCGGTGCCTTCCCCTGTGTTTTGTACAGTTCTGAGCACACTGGCATTGGCCTGTAATCTGGATCCATATCTTTCCTGGATGATGAATGACAATGGGGAAGTATGGGTCCATTGCTGGCAGAAATGGTGAATGCGTCCCTCCAGGGACGAGGGAACAGGGTGGCAGTTACCATTCAGGACACAGGCTCCTTCTTCTGAGGGCATTACCTGATACAGATTGCTTTGCCAAATGGATACAGACTGCCTTGCCAAATGGGGCAAGCTGGATGTTGATGGGTTAAGCGGAGTAACTAGAAAAGGTAACAACAAATGATATTTGCACATGGCTGAAGAATTGCATCTGCCAGTTTTGACTCAATTCACAATTTAAAGCTTTTAGAAGATCCGAGGCTGCTTTTAGATGATTAAATAGCAGCTGTAGCCAAAATACCATTCTGCATCTGCACATGGATAGAAGAGTGCAAAGCTTCCTTTCAGATACATACAGACCTTGCTACTTTCTGTCACAGTTACAGGGTAGCTGCACCTCCGTCCCCTTTCTGGTCTCTGAATTCACTGCCTCAGCTCTTGGGCCATGTGCCTTTATCTCTCTGGGAGCGGAATTCTGCAACTCTCCCACTTCTAGATCAGGCTCTGGGCTGTAGCACCTGTGTAGCAACCATTTTTACCCATAAAGTCTGGCTGAATTTAGGCACCTGTGGCTCTTACCTTCAGGAGTCTGTGACCAGTGGTGTATATAGTGAGCAGACAGCCATCTTAAACCAAAATATTGTTTATTTACCAGTAGGAACAAAGCATTTAACAGGAACAGTATACACCTATGTCTGTCTTTCCTAAAATCTTACCCTCCCTTGATGGTAACCTTGGCAGACCTAATTTATTCAGACACCACCAGTGATTATCTGTAGCTCACTCTGGTCCCCCTGAATAACTATCCCCCTTTCTGTCTGTTTTGATAGGTGAAAGGGGGTGGACTGCCCTTGAAGTTTTACTAAGGTTTTCTTCCCTCTGACTTTTGGAAAACTTCCCCAGGATAGACTAATTCTGTTGACCCTTGGGGAAGACCTGGATACAGCTTTCTGATTGAAGAATTAACAATCAGGCAGTAATTCTTCAAAAACAAAATAATCTTTGTTCAATATACCAATATTCCTTGATACAATAAACCTTAAAAGCATATTATCAAGAAACAAAATACAAATCCCATTAGCACAAGTATGCATATCAAAGTACCCAGTACTGTAATACCATACAGTTGGGAACAGCTCTTAAGTGGTTACATTCTACATGCAGTGATCAGTCACATGGAGAATGCTGTCTGCCAGTTCTTACTTAAACATTTAAATTGTATACATAGTAACAAACATATATACACAAACATCCAACTTTATTATCTCAGAGAGATACACTCATAAATCCTATTGGTTCTCTGTACTATGGTTGTCATGTTACTTTTTTACAGTCTTTTTTCCCTCTGATCTGTCTGCAGTCCTTTTCATCTGTCACAGATACTTCTTAGCTGTTGCTGCTGCAGCTCTTTCCTTCTTCAGCGATTTCAACTCTTTTCTGATCTTCCAACTTCTTCTCCTATTTCTCCACCTGGTCTCATCTTGACTGACTCAAGCCTGTCAGCTCTCTACCTTATATACAGGTTTTGGCCTATTCTGATTGGTTATTTCCTCGATCCTTATCATTAGCATACCAATCCACCAATCATCTTAAAGGCTTCCCTGATTGATCTGTTCTTATGAACCAATCACAGCTGGTGAATTCATCTGTCAATCAAACCCAGACCCGATTGAAAACCTGTGCCAGGCTTGACTAGCCCCTCCCTTCAGGTTTTGGAGTGACCTTTATCTCACCTTAACCTGCCTGTTTCCTATAGGCTGAATTATTCCAAAATCACCATCTTGTTATTCCTAGCTGTAACCACTTAAAAATGAATTTATTAATTATTAAATCATTATAACTATAAACAATTACACATTTATATGCATCTTAATATTAAGATTCACTATCACCAATCCATTTTTACTAATTTAAATAAGTTTAATTTCAATTTTTCCTTGTGTCAGCTAGTGGTGGAGAGGCAATGTTCTTAATGCTGTATTCCTGATATAGAATAGAGCAGCTGAAAAAATCTCTTGTATCTCTTGGTCCAATAAAAGTTATTACATCACCCGCCTTGTCTTGCTAATATCCTAGGATCAGCATGGCTACAACAACACTTCATAGTTTTTATGTTGGATGTCTTAAATAGTTTGGGACCCATGTCCCTGCAGGACTGCCCCATTCTTTTTTCCATAATGCACAATTGAAGATGGATCTCCTTCACCGTAGAAGAGAAAGAGCCTGTTCTCTTTGAGGGGTCCTTGACTCTGAAATTCTCTTCCCTTCTTGGTCTATGGAGGCAGAATGTATTAATCTTCTTAGCATATTGTAAAGATCAATTTTTAGCACAGATACTTTGTGAACCTTGTGGGTTCAAAGGAGGAGGATTTAGGAGAAGCCTTATGGTAGTGAACAGGAGCAGCAAACAGGGGAATTTTGTGAGGAAGTTCTCCAGGTGAAGGAGGAGAGACTATATGACCCTTGGGGTGAGTTTGTCAGTTTGTTTGTTTGTTGTGTGCTTGTTTCGTTGCTATGTGCTTGCTTGATTAAAGCATGGTCTGTTGTGAGGGCTGTGTGCTGAGCCAAGTAGCCTGCTAGGCGTGACTGAGAGTTTACTAACCCTCTAGCCTGCTACCATTGATCACTAATCCCTTTAGGATCCCTTGACGAGGGGGTGGGGCTAACTCAGAGAGAAGAGGGGTTTAAAAGAACACCAGAGAATCAGAGAAGCTTGTGCACAGAAGCAGCAAACAGGGGAGGTTTGTGAGGGAGTAAAAAGAGGGAGCATGATAACCAGATACACCTAACAAATATACGTGAAATTTAGGCCAATAACCCCTCCACAAAACAAATAAAAAACAAAACTAAAATCCCTGCAAGAGTAAAAATAATGCAGGCAGAAGTCCAACAGCAGAGTGGGAGCTATCTGGTTTATTGTACTGCATGCATCATGTATGATTACCTACCTTGAGAGCAGATGGTGTATATGTCTGCACCGGGCAAGCAGGTCATGGCCATCAGAGACACAATATGGGCTCTTGAGTCCAGAGTGTCTGAACTGGAGGAGCTAAGGGAGACAGATAAGTACATAGATGAGACTTTCAGGGACACAGTAAAGTTGTCCCAGTCTGACAGCTTCTGTGCTGTTAAGGAGGATGAAAGTCCCAGGGAAGGAGAACATCAAGCTGGAATGAAGGGAAACAATCCCATAGTTGGGACTCTCCTTCCAGATGATGTCATGGCATCCTTTCTCACTGACACTACTCCTCCTAGAGAGGATACCCCAGTCATTAGGAAGAGCCAGGTAATATTAATGGGGTATTTAATTATTAAAAACATAGACAAATTGGGTTTGTAGTGACCAAAAGAACTGCATGATAAGTTGCCTGCCAGGTGTGAAGGTTGCAGATCTCACGAGACATCTAAACAGACTTATGTGCACTGTAGGGGAGAAGCTGGTGGATGTGGTACATATTGGTACCAGTGATATAGGGAAAGGTAGGAGAGAGGTACTGGAGGCCAAATTTAGGCTGCTAGATAAGAGATTAAAGTCCAGAACCTCCAAGGTAGCATTTTCTGAAATTCTTCCCATTCTTTGTGCAGGATCAGGAAGACAAAATGAGATGGATGGTGTAGGGTGGAGGGTTTTAGGATTATTAGGAACTGCAGTTCCTTTTGGGAAAGAAGGAGCCTGTACAGGAAGGATGAGCTCCATCTAAACCAAAACAGAACCAAACTGCTGGCATGTAAAATTAAAAATGGTTATAGAGGATTTTTTTTTAAACTAGGGGTTGGGGGAAAGCCAATAGGATGGTTCAGGCAGAGACATTCCTGAGAGATGAGTTTATTAAAGGGGGAACTCTATATCTTAGTAAAGAGGATAGGAAAGAAGCTGGTAAAGTACAAGTAGAAACTAATGTGGAACAGTCAAACGTAAAAGAGTTCTTTTTAAATATAACGCATTCCGGTAAGCAACTGAATATTGACAGAATGTACAAGTGCTAAATGTTAAGATGAATGAAATAAAGTGCCTGGTATTAAATGAGGATATAGATATACATTATGGAAGCTAGGTATAATGAGGATAATCGATGGGATGTGGTTAATACCATGGTGCAGAATATGTAGGAAAGACAGAATAGGTTGTGCTGGGGAGAGTGGCAATATATGTGGGAAAAAAGCATAGAGCCCAATAAAGTAAAAATCTTAAGTGAATCACACTGTACCATAGAGTCTCTATGGATAGAAATTCTGTGCTTGAACAATAAGAATATAGTAGTAGGAAGCTACTACCAGCTACCTGACCAGGATGGTGACGGTGATTGTGAAATGCTCAGGAAGAATAGAGAGGCTACAAAAACAGAAACCCAAATAATAAAGGGGGATTTCAGCTATCCATATTGCCTGGGTTCATGTCACCTCAGGATAGTACGCAGAGATAAAATTTCTAGACACCATTAACAACTGTTTTTTGGAGCAGATAGTCCTGGAACCAACAAAGGGAGAGGCAATTCTTGATTTAGTCCTAAATGGAACACAGGATTTTGTCCAAGAGTGAATATGGCTGAACTGTTCAGTAATAGTGCCAAAGAAGCTCACCACAGTAGCATTTAACTTCAAAAAGTGGAACTATACAAAAATGAGGAAGCTAATTAATTGGAAATTAAAAGGAAGTCAATGGTGAAATTTCCAATGACATCAGTGGAACCAGAGTTAGGCCAATACTAAGAGCACTACCAAACTGTGAAAACATAAGAAAATAAGAATGGCCACATTGAGTCAGACCACTGGTACCTGTCTCTGACAATGGCCAGTTCCAGATACTTCAAACGGAATGAATAGAACAGGGTAATTTTGAGTGATCCACCCCTTTATGTCCACTCCTAGCTTTTGGCAGATGAAGTTTTAGGGACACTCCGAGCATGGGCTTGCATCCCTAATTGCCTTTGATGGACATATCCTCCATGAACTAATCTAATTCTTTTTTAATCCAGTTATACTTTTGGCCTTCACAACATCCCAGGGAAATGACTGTGTGTTCTGTGAAGTATTTCCTTTTGTTCGTTTTAAACCTGATGCCTATTAATTTCATTGGGTGACCCCCAAGGTCTTGTATTATGTGAAGAGGTAAGGAGCATTTCCCTATTCACTTTCTCTAGCCCATTCATGATTTTATAGACCTTTATCATATCCCCTCCCCTAGTAATCTCTTTTCTAAGATGAACAGTCAGACTTTTAAAAATCTCTCTTCATGTGGAAGCTGTTCCACATGCCTAATCATTTTTGTTGCCCTTTTCAGAACCTTTTCCAATTCCAATATATCTTTTTTTGAGATGGGGCGACCACATCTGCACTCAGTATTCAAAATGTTGGCGTGCCATGGATTTATATAGAGGCAATATGATATTTTCTGTCTTATTATCTACCCCTTTTCTAATGATTCCCAACATTCTGTTAGCTTTTTTGACTGCCGCTGCACATTCAGTGGATATTTTCAGAGAACTATTCACAATGACTCCAAGATCTCTTTCTTGAGTGGTAACACCTAATTTAGACCCCATCATTTTCAATGTATAGTTAGGATTATTTATTTCCAATGTGCATTTACTTTGCATTTCTTCACATTGAATTTCATCTGCCATTTTGTTAGGGCGAAGCTGAGTTCTTTAAAAAATCCCATCGTCTGTTCTTTTGAGACCATCTATTAATTGGCAAACTAGTAACTGGAAACTTAATGAATCAAAGTGATTGTACTGAACATGTTAGATTTTCTAACTGTGTGTTAAATTTTGGGAGGTGCCTCTAAATTCCGACAGCCACCAGAGAAATCAAAATAATAAATAATACTCCAAAATTCCTTTCCGGCATCCGTGGCAATAACAAGATGAGAGTAGCAAAAATGAATGCTGTGATATTAGCACTACTAAAAACATTAGCCTTCTAAAGAATTCAATATTACTAATAAAAATACAGACTAATTTGAATAATTTTTCAAAATGACAGCTGTTGTACTAATGAATCACTGAAATATTTTTGTTCAGTCAAACAATATTTTAGAGATTGTGGTATGTAGAAAGGATATATCTTGCTGGGTAGAGTAACATAATATGTGCTCCATGGAGTAGGGAAACTTTAATGATATATGCACTTTTGTTATTAAAACTGAGTTATATATTTTGCTGTACAGTGGAAAATTGTGACCCAGTATAACATATCTTCACATTGTTTATAACTTGAGGAAAATCAACATTCTGGGTCCCCAGTTCACACAGTAGGAATTACATTTATTTTGGCCAAATGTAATTTATATAACTGCAAGGAACAATAAAACATGAACTTTATAGTGTTTTCTTACCTAAAAATAATATAGCGCTTGTAAAAGTGAAGAGATTATTATTTGTAAAGAAAAAGACAGTAACTTAGAAGTTGAAGCTCATTCTACATCTCTGAAAAACTTACCCCAGCTCAAGTTGGCAGGCACCTGTCTCTGCATTTTCATTTGAATGCTATAAACTGCTAGTAAACCTTGCTTTGTCCGTAGCGGCGCGTGCTCTTGCAGGAAGGGCTTGTTTTATATAAGTCGTTACTTTCTCGTCAGTAACTAGGATTCCTTGGAGTTTTGGAGAGTGTTGTCTCCTGCCAGCAATGAGAATGCTGGCAGCCATGGTGGGTGGGGTTAGCATTCTATTCTAGTGTGTACAGGTTCTTATATCATGTGTTTCCCCACAGAATTGGAACTCCTTCCAGTAGAGCAATAAGTTACATGAATAACATATGTCTTGTGTGTTTCATTCTATTTCTTGTCCTCCCCCAAAGGGAGACTAGACAAAGGAAGGACTATTATCCTGATTTTACAGATGTGGAAATTGAGGCACGGTGAGGTGAAATGATTTGCCTAAGGTCATACACAGAGTCTGTGGCAGAGCTGGAAATTGACCTGAGGCCTCCTGCATCCCAGTCCTGTGCTTCAAACACAAGACAATCCAGCCCCTTCCCTTACTAGAGTGGAATATTCCACTATAATAAGAGAATTATCTATTTAAAAAGATAAAATGTGGTGGAGGTGGGGGAGAAAGAAAAAAGAAAATGCAGGGTAAGATAGCTTAGGTGCTGATTCTGCAAACACGTATGCATGTGATTAACATTGCTCATGTTTATAGTCCCAATGATATCACTGGAGTCACATTTCTGCTAGATGTGGAGAAATGATTTAAAGTTGGGTCTCCTACATTGGAAGACAATGCCCTATCCATTGGACTACAGGATATTCTGAAGTGGGGCTTTCCAAGTCTCTCCTGTTCAACCTGTTCCTCATTGTATAAATAATAAAACAGTCATTGCAGCAGGGACTTCGACTTGGTGATCACTCACATCCTAGGAAAGTGCTCTAGTCTCCAAGCTATAGAGACATTTTCACCCTCTTTTCCTAGTCCAATTACTATTCTCTATACAATTTTACTGCAGTGACCTTTGCCCTTCCTCATCCCATCCCCTTCCTGTTGTTTGTTACCCACCTTGATCATGTTGCATCTAAAATTAAAGCCTGATCCTGAAAAAAACTGACTACAGGTCATAGTGATTAATACCTTGGGTAGGAGCACTGAGCACTTTTGGGCACTGTAATAGTATAAGACAACATAACTGTTTTTGTACCTAAATTCCCTATTCTTTTCTTACAGTAGATCATTTTTAATTGTCAGTAATGACTTGAAGACCCATTGCAAATTACTTAACTTTGCAAACAAGCAATAAAGTGAACAAACACTAATAAAAATGGATAATGGATAACAAAATGTCCTTTGTTCATTTATTTGACAATTGTGGTTTAGTTTAGTTGCTTATGGTGCTTCATTGCATCCCAGTAAATGGTTCTGTGGTCTATTTTGTAAAAGATAATAAAATCTTGGTGGTATGAGTCCTCATTACATTCTTCGCTATTAAATCTTTCCTAAGAAGTGGGGAGAGATGCATAAAAATTTATATAGTGCTTATACAGTTTTATGTAGTGAAACAAGCAAAACACTTTGTAGGCAAATATATAAACACGGAGCATGATTCACAAATATGGTAAGGCCCACGTACACCATTCTGGCAGCATAAAAAGAGGCTTAATAAAGTGGATATAAAGAGATCTGAATGTAATTTAGAATCAGGGCCAAGGTATTTACTGTGAAGGTCCCTCCTCAAATGATCCCAAAATGCTGCACAGACTACATACATAGACTATAACTGAAATGCAGTCGACTCTGGGATGGATAGGGGAAATCAATTAGTGCACTGCATGCAACATGGACAGGGTGGGAGAGGAAAATTCCAACCCACAATGGGGGAAATGCTAATCTGGGGCTAAATCGTTATGACCTTAGTTTGACCACTTACTCAAGCCAATGGGACTTTTATTGAGTAAGGACTGCAGACCTGGGCCCCTGTTAAAGAGTGCCAAGGAATCTTTAATGTTCAGGCTGAGCTGCTATGGCCCTGGTGCTACATTTTACCCTCTGTGAGAAGAGTGAGACAGCTCAGTAGTTTGCTTGGGGTAATCCTGTTCAAAGCGTAGGGGATTGAAGTGGGCAGGAGATAAGCCACTAGCATCCAACAGAGAAATCCACAGAAGAAAGCTTCAGAGGAATCTCATGGTTGTGGGAACAACCATGGAGTGTGCTCAGTCTTTAATCTAAAATGTTTGTCTTTTCTTTTTTCTTTTTTTCCCGACAACCAGAGTCTTATGGAAAGTGCAGCAAACATGTAGGAATGCAAAGTTATGCTTCCCATATGAATGTAATAAAAATGCTGAAATTTCTTATTAAAATCTTGTGATAGCCTTCAAATGCTGTATATGAAACACTGCCCAGAAAAAATGTGGATAAAATATACTTACTCGTGGGTTCTGATAAGATAAAACACTGCTCAGACTTCGCTCACCATGATGTGGTTTGTGTAACCTTAGTATTCAGGCTTAATATGCTCTCTGTCTCACTCTCTAGTTTTCATATATAAAATCATGCAGACTGGAAGTGGACAGTACCATATTAAGGGTTTAGGTGCAAACACATACCTCTGTGCAACTCTCTGGATGAGTTATTCCAATGACTTAACATGAGTAAAGCTACGTACAGGGGCAACCCCAGTGAAGGACTGCAGGAGGGGGAAATGTAGAACTGTTTTATTTTAATTTAGGCAAGATTTTTAACATGATGGGTTCATATTTAGATCTATATTTATACAGAGAGTTTTTATAATCAAATGTAGTAGTTAAACTATTTCTATTAAAACCTAGGCACAAAAGCAATACCCATAATTGGAAACGAGGTATTTGCTGTTGACCGGGTGCCCAGATTTCTTTGTTCAACTGTAGGTCTTAATTTAAGGTAAGAGCATAGCTTTTCCTAAGTGCACATTCGGGGGTGTAATGAGACATAAGGTGATCATCACTCCCCAGTGTGGGCTACCTGCTTTCCAGCTCGCTGCTTGGAGGAGAGGATGGTGAGAGGAGCTCCTGCAGAGTCACTGCTTACCCCTGCTGTTCAGGTAAGTGTGCGAGGATTGGATGGGCAGGGTGGAGCAACGGTTTGGAGGCTAGTCCTCGCTCCCTAAACATGCCAACCAGCAGAGCTGAGCCAGCACAATGGGGAGAGTAATCTCTCCCGGGTGCAGACAGGCCAATAGCAAATTACTCCCCGCCTGAAGCAAGGGGTGGGCTAAGGAGCCAATTATGACTCATAGACTGATCATGGGGCATCACAGCTGTGTATTGCCCCTTGCCAAGGGCAATGCAGAGCTTAAAAATTAAGCCCTGAGTGGTTTGTACGTTTTCCACAGGCTTGTAAAGCACATGGTGCACCTTGGTCCAGAAAGAAGGCCAGATGCATCATCATAGTTCATGAAATTATTTTTCTCCTCTTGTTCAAGTAGCCAAATCTCTGGTATGTATCAGCGGGAGCATGCAGTCTTCAAAGAGTGAAGTCAAGTGTAAAATATGCATACATATTAAAAGAGTATGGGCAATATGGGAGGGGGGAAGTATGCATGTTATGTAGAATTTTTATTACAGTAACTGCCTCCTATTCATTATTACAAGGAACAGCCTCATCAGCTGGGATATATTGTAGACAAATATGCTGTAATGAAAACCCAGCTCTCAAGGGTAGCATAAAATAATTACTCTTGTTTTTAAAATACTACAATGTAATGGAATTTATATGAATATAAATATGGTTAGAAAGAGAGTGGGATTAGACATTTACGAGATGGAATGATGAAAGCTATTGCACCATCTCAGATTAGTCCTTTTTATCTTTACTGTCATATTTTTGCAACTTCCTTGAAGTAGTAAACTGATCTTGTAAACGTTCCTTTGTGTTTCATGTTGGTGCAGTAAACTCTCCCACACAATTTTTGCATAAAACATTAAGATAGAACAGCTAGTCATGTGACCTGGCTGACACAAACATATGACACCCTGAACTAAGGCTTACATGCCATTAACAACAGACCCATGCAAAACCATGAGTTTATTGGCCAAAATTACACAATGACAACCTCAAGTCCTTCCACAGGAAACAACAAATGCTAGAACAATGTATCCAGTGGGAAGACTGTGCACTTGGTGTAAATGTCTCTATGCCAAGCAGAAAATGGACTGCATGGAACTAAGTCAGGGGATCAACCACCCCTCTGAGCCCGTAGGATTCTGCGCCAGCAGTTAAACATAATAGCAAATTATTCTGCAAAACGGGACCCAGTTCAAGTGAGGAACAACTTCCAAATAACTGATTGCTAGATGAAATGGGCAGTTGAAAGCATAAGCATTTGGGAAGGAGGACAAATCTGCAAGACTGGAAATGGAATAAAACATCCACTACTAATAACACATCTCTTGCAAAATTCTATGATTTTTCACTTCAAAACAGGATCCTGTTGAACTGCTGTGACTGGCAATCACACTCTTTCACCCTACTCTCTTAGAGTCTGACATGTTTAAATATGTGTGTGACAGAGGGCTGTTTTGGAAAGAATTTCTCTTCCTTCTATGTTAGGGGACTCTGTTTCCAAGGGCTCAGCGTTACAAAGTGCTGAACATCCTCAACTGTTGCTGAAATCACTGGAAGGTGATGACACTCAGTGCCTCATAGAACATGCTTGCCGGACTGGGTCCTTACTAGGAGGGACATCAGTCTCTCCTTCTTTAATGCATCTTCTTCAATGCATATTGCAGTTAGTGATGGGGTTTAGATGCAGCTGAATAGAGTAGAATATACAGACCTCTTAGTAATATAGCTAGATAGCTCCATATGTTTCTCTGGCATAAAGAATTTGTTAAAAGTGCTCAGTTTAGTTCTCAATGCACTCTCTCCAGTAATCTTTTCCATAGAAATATACAGTCTCTCCTCTGTGCAAAAAAATAAAAGAAAAGAAGTCTGCTTCATAAGTGATCAGCATGCAGCGGTCTCCTTCGAAACGTGATGTTTTGTTTTAGTATCGCTGTTGGGCCTCGCACAGCTTGCGAACATTTCCTGCTGTCTCCGTGGCTCAAATTTCAGTGTTGTCTTCAGGAATCACTCTTCACACTGAACCTACTGGAAGCATT